CAGCCAACATCGCTTACCATTCTAGTCAAATTTGGCAGTGCTTTTGCGTTTTACGTTAAAATTTCGCTGCCTTGCATACTAAGCAATCCTTCAATGGGAAAGCCCGGCAAAAGACCAACTGGGTGGCTTCAATTGTTCCCGATGCTATATTGTGGCTGATGCTGTAAGCACACAACCACAAAATGGACAAAATCTGTTCAATTTTGGGCCCGTGATTTTTCAATACACAACAGGGCGTGAGGAGCGTGGGTCAGCTGGCATCTGATTTGGCGAATTAACATTGAAAGCCGGCACGGTGGGCAAAAAAAAAAAATCTTACTAAATCATAGACATATTATAGTTAAGGGATATAATGGAAGAAATATTGTTAGCAGATTAACAAACATTTTATCAGTATCATTAATGTTTCCTTTTTATACTTATCTGTACTCTTTAATGCTATAAGTAAGATCGTAAAGGTAATATTTACTAGAATACATTTTAAAAATATTTTTTTTAGTTTTAAAAAAGATGTATCGTAATCGTTGTAAGCTTTACTTTAGGATACTCTAACACTTCCAGCCATATTTCAAAAACATAAAAATGAATTACCAAAATTTTACGACCTACTGTCTACTGTGCCTCAATGCCTAGCTTTCATTTAGTTTGTTGGTAGGCACGGCCCATCAGTCTGTCTCGTCCTGCATTATCCCCCTCTGGCTTCACTTCTTCCGGAATCCGGACTCCCAACTCCCGGCCGTACATCCTTTCGTACCGGAGTTTCGTCGAACGTTCATTAGCACGCACGTCGGCGCCATTTTGCAAACGCATTTCCGGTGCAGTTGGTCGTGCAGCCGCTGACCTGTGCACTTTCGGAGAAAACCTGATGACAGTTCAGAAGAAAATGTTTGGAAAAAAGTAAGTCAATGTATTTAAAATGTTTTTTACTTGAATTAGTTTAATGGGAGTTTTAATGGGCAGTGTTTAAGGGTCTTAAATTAATCTATAAACCATTCTAAACTTATATGTAGGATATACTAAGTCTAATATAATAGCAATGAAATCTTGGAAAAAAACATAAACAACGGAACTATTATATTTAATAAGTTATAGTACTTATACTGCTCTTTAACTTCCAATTATATATACTTTTCATCTTCCAAGTATCTACTTGATACCATTTTATATTTATTTCTCAAAGATTGAAAGATGTTGTTTTTTTTTGCATACAAAATATAGTTTTATTTTAAGATTACACAAGATTTGAATAAATCGAATGTTCACTTGTTTGAAACTAACAAGCATATCCACTTCATTTTACTAGTATATCTCCACTGCAGTACTACAATGTTATTTATCTGGCTGGCCATTCAAAAGGCATTTTTAATTGGCGATGAGTACGGCAAAGCTTAACGCAACATTGCAAAGGAAGGATTTTGGCCAAAATGTCAGGGGCAGGGGCTAGAGCAGAGCCAGAGATACATAGAAGCAGTGGCAGGGGCATAGTCAGGGGCAGGGTAGATGGGGCACAACGATTGCGAATCGAATCCAAACCAATAAAAGTGCCAGAACAGAGGCCAGGGCTATGCAGAGGGTCGATAATTGGTAACGCGTCACGTTTAATGCTCTCAAAAGCCAAAAATGGAATTTCTAATTAAGTTTTACAGGGATTTAATATCGACCATCTGCAGTTCCCCAGTACAATTACTGGCTATCGTGCTCCTTCTTTTCAGCCAGAACTCTGCTGCTGCCCGGCAGCAATGTGTACGAAATTTTGGTCAATTAACACATCCACGAGCTTAGAATAGAAGCCCAAGCCCAGTCAAAACACAAACTAGCCAAAGTGAATACAAAAAGAAGAAAAGATGGATTGCAATCAGTGTACTAATACCCTATATTTGAGTTTGAAAAATGTTTCAAATAGTTTGAGGTGATAATTCTGGACTCAACTTCTGATTCTCATTTGAGGACTAAGATATATACCTTTTCTGGTCAGTTACAGACTTTCTATAGTTCGATAACACCTTATCTAGGGTATCAAAAAAAAGAAGAATTTGGCTTACTTGTTGGAATATTTTCGTATTGCTGCTGCTCCTGTTGCTGATGCGCTTGGGGGATTAACAAGTAGTCGGCTGCTGCAACTGCAACTGCAACAGCATAGCAGCAACATCAGTAACTGCAGCCAGTGAAGCAACTGCAACTGGTTGGGGAGGATAGACACTGTCTGCCGGAGGATAGATGGGTGTCTGCTCCTCCCTGATGAGTGGAAAATTGCTTTTGGAAATCTGTTTATCAACAGAGTTTACTTGATTTTGTTGTCTGTGTGAAAATATCGGAATCGGGCTTATTGTTAAGTACTTGCCTGTCAACTGTCAATGAAAAAGAGTCGATGGACAAAAAACTAAGAACTCAAAATATGCATTTTTTGGGGATAGTTTAGCAATTTTCTCTCTTTTTCAAAACTGGTTGGGTATTACTATTTTTAAAGCGTAGTTTTCTTTTTTTTGGAAGTATATGTATAAGCTGTATAAATTGTTTTTCAATAAACTTGGAACTTGAGCTCAAGTTTGGGAAATACTTTCAGACTTGTTGAAAGATATACCCCCAACTCTCCCTATTGGCATATTTCATCGGCAGAGCAACAGATAACAGACAGCCGACAATCCCGCCAATGTTCATGGATATGCATATTCTGGATATGGCTAAGGCAGCCCATAGCCGTCATTCCACGTCCTCCTCCACCTCCCCCTGCTCCACCCGTCATTTGTCAGAGCCTCGAAGCAGTAACAATTGATATGCGTGTACGTGAGCGGAATGCCGAGAATCCCCATCGGAGGGAAGCCGGGCGGGGGATTAACGCAAATTTGTGAATCGAGGTAGTGGAAACGCTCCAACTTGGCACGCGCGTGATGGTCTAAAAATGTATCAAATGGTAAAATGGCAAAACTTGAAGAGTCAACTCAAAGATGGAGATGTGGCGATGGTGAAGGCGATGGCGATGGGAGTGCCTTGCGGCAGTGCCAGTGGCAGGGCACTGTTTCCTGCAGCAGGAAATGTTGAGTGCCTAGCCTATGTCTATTCTTATCAATTAGTCATTTCTCATTTCCGAGAAGGCAAACACAAGTCCACAAGTCCATTCCATAACTCAGCGGCTGCGCATGCGCAATGTGGCACCGAACGGTTATAGGCGAGAATTTACACAAAAATGCAATCAGTCGCCTGATAAATATACAAATTGCCATCGAATCGAAGGAGAGAGATACTCCCTGTCCATTGGAGAACGTTATCATCGAAGTATATTTGCATTGCTCCGGCGATGAGGATTCAGTCTGTCCGATACGAGTACGGGTACTTTGGGTAAACAATTATCTCTACTGGCGTGTTGCCACGTTTGTTTGCTCCTCAAATTTAGCCGTCAGTATGAGCCGTTTTTGTTCTTGACGGATGGACAAGATTGCGTTGTTTATTGTTCCTGGGTTGGATAAGTACAGGCCATTCGTATCCCTATCATGATAGCCTGCAGGCAAGGGGCTCTATAGATCTATGTAGTGGAGCCAGGTGTGTTCGAAATTTAAGGTTGGGCATTGGAATCTTTTAGTATTAGTTAGTATTTGATAAAACAGTTACTGCTAGCTAGAAGTTAGAAGAGTTACAAGAAGGTACAAGAGAATATACTTCCTTAAGAGGCCCTAGCCTACATCCAGATGGTAACAAAACTCTCTAAAACCTTCTTAAATTTCTTTAAAAATTTTTCACCCATTGGACAGACTGGCAAGGTTTATATATTTTTTCTCAGTGCATGTATCTGTGTCCCTTATGTACGACCAATCAATCAAATTTGAGCGGCGAGACCATAAACCGGTGCGATATCATCTATTGTACAAGTGCCGCGGTTCCGCCGCCCCACCCCCCAAAAAATTTCCCCACCTTCAGCACCTACACCCACCCCCACTTCGTAAAGATTCTATCGGAGAGTTTGTATTGCACAAACAACCCGAGGCGTTCATAAATCATGACAAGATCGGCGTTCTCCACGCCCGCTAACCCCATGCCGCCCCTTCTCCTGCTTGCTCGGCTATCGGAATAGGGGGGTGGGGGTGGTGAGCCGACGGAACTAAGCTGGTCATAATGCCACATTATGACAAGTTTTGGGGCACGCGTTACGCACGGCGAATGTATCTGGAGAATGCATCTCGCCGCGTTCGGTTGCGTGTGCGAATATCTTGATTAATGCGAGCGGCAATTATTGAAAATTCATCAGTGCAACATCTGCGTGGGGCAGGACTGGGTAGCTGGGAAGACTGGTGGATGGCAGGCGGGGGGGCCAATGATTTTATTTTTTTGGGGGCAGACCAAAAACAAATCAACAGTTCAAAACTCGCTCTTTGTTTTGTTCCGCTTAGATTCCATCCGTTCGCTCGGCGCATGCCAGTTGAGATACATTCTTGTATCTGTATCTCTTCTACGCGAAGTCTCTCTTATACGGGGAGAGCGGGCGAGCGGGAGAGATGGAAACAAACAGGTAAATTGCCTGGGCAGGTAAGTGCCACTCTTTGGGGGTACTGCCACAGATGACCCGCTGGACAGAGAGGAGGAGCTGTGGCGCGCACACATGAGCTGGAGTATTAAATACAACTAATGGAAAGGGTTAAGCATATGTATACCAGATCCGCCAAATTGATTTTCTGCTCTCGGTGGGGTAGCCTTCAGGACTTATCTGTGACTTGGTCCTTAGAGCACTCCAATTGGATTTTAGACAACAGAGTTACTACCAAAAAGGAATCTATAAAACGAACAAAAATAAAATTTGGTGGCAAAATTTCAGGACATCAGGACACCACGACGGAAGGTAACATAGAGCCGAGAAAAACATAACCCACAGAATACAGAAGAGCGCTACAGATTTTCATCCACCGACGACGACGACGACGAGGCTTCCACTCTCTTAGCTTCCACATGAGAGCGGGTCACCATGCAACCTCGTCGCTGTCGGGGGCTCTGCTGCAAGTTACAACACTCGGCGGTCTCAATCGCTCATCGACCGCCGTTCGTTTCGTTACATGAACGCTGACGCTGTTGCAGGCAGCGGGCCGCCCTCGCACTTACATCCCAGCGCTCGTGGCAACAACAACACTCTCGTACCTCTCGGAGTCCCCTCGGCATTCGCCACAAACTAGACCGCATTGAATCGATCTGGACTATCCGCACGCGTCGCGAGTTCTTCTTAAAATCGAATCCGAAATAGAAGAAAGTGTTATTTTGAATATTTTTGCTCAACTTGCCGCAAAATGCGGTCACCACGGAGCACCTACGGTAGCCACCTACACGGGGCTAAGTGTGTCGTGAAGTGCGCCACCTGAAGACGGCCAAAATAGAGTCTCCCCTTAGAGTGTTTTTTCAAAAAAGAAAAGAAATATCTCTAAAAAGAAACCAAAAGTTACAAAGATCGTTTGGTAAAGTGCGTGAAAGTGAAGAATTTTTTCAAAAAACAAGAAACTACGGAACGACGGAGTACAATCATCAATCCAACGCTGAAAAGCAATGATATTTCTCAAGGCATTCGGATTTGAAAAGAAAGTATCCTTCGAAAGTGCTTAGTCAGTTGTGCGATTTTAAATTTGTGAAAGGTAAAGAGATATTATATCTTCTTCAAATATCTTCCTGAGAAACAAACAAATCTTGAGTGATTGTGAAATTCTACCAAGTGTCTAATAATTCCTCTCATAAATGGTTTTTCACCTGTTTTCCCCCTTTTTTTATGGGGGTTGGGGATTGTTGTGTTGTCCAAATACAAATTAACCAAATGTCAAGCTGTCAACATCTTGGGCTAATCAGGTTTCTTTATATTTAAACACAAAACGCAGAAGCATCAGCAGGTCGTAAAATTATAAATAAAGAATTCCACACATTTTGGATGGACTTTTATCTTTCCTCACATAATTTGTCGCTTGAGATTCTTTCAAGTTTCAAGTTGGTGGTTCTTCTGGCCGTTATCTTCTGTGCCAGATGCATTCATTGTTGGCTCTTTGGCAACACCCCACTTGGCCAGATAAACACTGCAGCCTGATCTCTGGCTTCTATTCTCCACAGGCAATTAGGGCGGAGAGCTCCCAAGATATCGTTTATTTGAATGTCTTCATCTGCCATTAGCCCCCTTTTTCCCCTTTTCTGCTCATTTGAAAATGTTTAGAAACGAAATAAGAGATTATATCTGGGGCCGTTGCGGCGTATCCGATGAATATCGTATCCGCAAGACGCGAAAATGCAGCCACCATTGCGCATGCATAATTAATTTCGTGTAAAAACCATAATTACACCAATTAAAATTTGTGTAAACAAGCCGTAGGCGAGTTCCTCAAACGGGGCTTGGCAATCGGGCTATCATTTCTATAATATCTTTGAAAAAAGTTTTCGCGGCCAATTGCGCGGCGGATTCTTTATTAGCTTAATGGCACAAATTGCGGACCCAAGATTTCTTCTTATAAGTATTATCAAGATGTAGATGATGATGATGATGATGTCGGAGCCCGCCCCCAAACGAACAATTATAGAGTTGTTGTATATGATTACGGGCCTCAATGGTAGGCCTAAGAAAAGTTTCGCTTCTCCCCGAGTTGAATGAAAAAATTTAAATAAATGTAATTGAATGTGAAGAGTTTTTTTATGAAAACATTAATAGAGATTTATGGTTGAGTTTCGTGTGCAAGTGGCTTGAAGTTGCGGAACGTCTACCGACGGCATGTGCATAAACAAAAATATTGTGGGGACATTGATTTAATAATTCTTGATATCTTGATATCTTGCTGAAATTATATATTTAAATTCCCTTTTCAAGATAGATATCTCCGAACCTCCCAGTTGTTATTTATGTAAACAGACTTGTATTAGTTTCATTTCCGTAAAATTTGGTTTTATTTAGCCTTATTATGTTGGATCCCTTGCCCCGGGCCATTTATTCAGAAGCCGACGAAAACAACAATCGAAAAAATTTATACCTGTCAGGCATTGGAACAGCCACAGACACACGAAATGTTTTATTTTGTGGCATTTTTTGTTCGTGAGTTTTTCGACACAAGATTGTGTCGCTTCCCACACGGGGCACGCCACCGAAATTGGTCTCTTACTCCTCGCCGTCTCCTAATTAATTAGCATCTAGCCAAGAATAATGTTTCCTGCGGTCCTCGGCTGTAGCAGCAGTCGACTGTCATAACTTGGCCGCAAGTTTATTTATACGGTTCGCCTGCGAAGGCGGCAACGGCGCACAAAAGGCAAACTCAGACCCCCAGATACATTTACAGATACAATAAGATACACGTCTACATAGGGGTATACCTACAGATACCAACAAGACGGTGCACAGGTGCCACAATTTCTTTAATTTTGCAGTGCCCCTCTCGACATGTCTGGAGTTGGGAATGCCGCAAGGAGAAATAATTCGTTTGTGCCTCCAGCGGCCTTTTCTTTTCTTTTTTTTGTTTTTGGCGGCTACTCCCGCCCTCAGTTTGTTTGCCAGTTGCGTTTTTATTGTCTTCCATGGTGTGTTTTTGTTTTTTTCATATTTTTTTTTTTCTCAGAATGTTAATCAATTTAAAATGATACACTTGTGAAAAAATGTTCAAGTGTTACGAGTCTTCTGAACAAAAAAGGTCAAGAGAATGTGAAGTTGCGGCGCCATCTTCATTGTTTCTAGACGAGCAGACTAAGTGTTAATAATATTAGAAAATGGTTTTTGGAAAAAGGTCTGGTAATAACCAGTAGGAGGTGTGACTAGAGAGTTGGGGGATTTTTTACTTGCCTGGATTTCCAAATCAATTCGTTTCGGCAGCACATCTGTTCAAAGAGGAAATTAAAAGCAATTATGTTTAGTTTCTTAAAGGAAGAAAAATATTAGAGTTTATAAACTACCATGACTTCCTTTTCCCCAGATTTGAAAAAAGTCAAGAATGTATGATAATGAACTCGAAAGCGATTCCCTTAATCAAAAAATGCAAAGTAAACAGATCGATAGGCCATCTTAAATGTATTCCATGTTTTCACTTTCTTGCACTCCCAGGAACGAACCCTTTTTCCACTCCACAAGGGACCAGACCACACAGACATTAAGATTTCCTGTTTTGTTTCCTTTTCATCGCCTAGCCCTTATCTGGGCCGCTTACTTCTGTCCAAGTTCCTCAAAGAATACCATATTATATGTAAATGACAACCGAGTGCCCCTAGATGCGACCATTATAGAGACGATTTCGAGAAGCTAATTAACTCTCGGATACAGTTCACTGCGCAAAATTGCGATTGCAGCGGAGCATATTAAATTTTGTGTTTGGCTTCGGAGCGGCGGAAATGAATTGCCGGTCATCGTCCCGCATGCTCCGCAAGATCTTCGACACTATCGAGGGGTATTCTGTATGCATTATGAAGCTCATCATCTTTCTCACTTGATTTGTCGGAGGCATTCAAGCAAGTCGCTGCTGTTTGCCCCGCTAGGAATTAGCCATCGTCGATTGTCTGGCCCGGGAGTCATCCAAACATTTTACGCATCGCAAAACAATGAAGCGTCATTAGCACCGATCCCTCCGCCTCCTCCGGAATGGGCTCATGGTCGTGCCGGAGCAGAAGCCCAGCCCGAAAAGTGGCCCATCCCATCCACAAAATCCCCAAAAATGCGGGAAGTCTCAGTCTCGGCCCAAGCTATATGTTGCAACACAAATAATTTGGTTTTTTAATTAAGTTCTAAGTTGCCAAAGGCACGAATCGAGGGGATCGTCTCCAACGTACGCCCGGGATGGTTCATTAATCAGGGTTTACTTCCAAACTTGCTGACATAGATTAGTCATACGAGTAGTGTAATTCTTCACAGTCAACACTTTCTGATAGCGAATGCTTAGCTTGTATCCGTTTTGTCCAAGGTTCGACCCAAATTAGAGCGAACCAGGCCCAGGACCAACCAACCCCATGGCATGCAAATGTCCTGGGAAGCTCTCCAGGGAATTACACGGAGGACCGCACACCAGGTGTCAAAAATGGTTCCATATAAAACTTGTCATTCAAGGGTCTACTCATCGTCCTTTTTAGAGGGGTGCTTATAAATAACAAAAAGTATTTTGTAATTAGAGCATGTGATGTCCAGTTTGTATGTTTTTTTTATAAACAAAATGGTACAACTTCGATAGGGGTTTCAAAGTAGACACTTTCCTAACCATCCGTTTAATTTTTCTATTTTTGAATACCCATAAAACCAGAAACAATAAACCCCTTCCTGCAGACAGCCCAAATGGGTTGAAGCCAAAAAAAAAGTTTTCTTTTTAAATTCCCCGCCAGGTTTTCGAGTTCCATAAACGGCGCGTCGGCTGATACGGCAGAGCTGCGACAAATGTGTCGAGGAAACCTATATCTTTTATAACACCACCTCCAAAAGCATCGGGAACACGTGCAGCCAGGTGGCGGAGACCCAACATTTGCATTCAACACTATGGTTTATTGTAATTAATGTAATTAGAAACATGAAGCATATGCTTTCATGGCATCGGGAAGACCCTACTGGGGGTATGTTCATCGCATAGGGGTTACCTTTCTTTTCGTTTACCAAACTGTGACATTGTTAGGGTCAATCAACCGTTGCTAATTTATATGGACTAAGAGCTATAATGCATCGCCAGTTCGCCTGAAATGCAATTGCAGAATGAACCCAAAAAAAACCCAAACTCGGTTCCCGCCTCCACCTCCAGGTCTGTCCCTCGGTTCTGAACCCTTTTGTGAGAACCAAAAATCGATAAAAACCTGAGCGAGGGCTCAAGCCGTCAGCCCACATATCCTGGCCACGCTCCGTTGATCGGCCTAACGACTGTCTCCTCTGTACTCCACCCTCCCCCCTATGGCTGCATCTGTGTGCTGGAATTTCGCCTGCCTTCTGGTTACCCTAACCCCCCCTGGTAGCCCTTTTGTGTCTGTGTGTGAGACTACCTTCCTGTCAATCAGCGCTTTGTTGTTGCGAGCGTCTGGCAGCCACTTAATACCGCCTCATTGTCAATGTCGCTGTCATCCTCCTCCTGCGAGAACATTTTTACATATTTCGCCGTTTGGGTTTTTGTGACGAGATGCCTCTCGCTTATAATTCATAAAAATTCCTACAGAGGCCCACACACGTCGCCGTCGCCATCGCCAGTCGATGTCGAGGACAATGTGGATGATGACAAACCGCAGACAAAGCGGCAAACAGGATGTGTTCCATGCGGGGTTGAGGCCTCTGGCGGTGGAGTCTTTTTTTTTGGGCAAAGAGGTCCAATACAAACGGAATATAAACTTTGTCTATATAAGGAATCTCTTTGAAAGAAGCTCGGAATTTTCGGTAAACCCGCATTCCCTAAGCCGAGAGATAAAAGAGTGGATACTTTAAGGAATTAATTTGGAAGTCTTGAATTTTTGAAAGTTTTAGTGGGTGAATCATTAAAATAATAACACAAGTTTCAATGATGCTTTGGAGTGTTACAACCCTTGAGTCTCGATTCGCATCTTTATGGGGTTTACGTCCAACCTTACGCCCTCTCCTGTGCCAATAACTGATGTCAATATCCGTGCGCTTCCTCGTTTCGAACTTCCTGTTTGTAGGAATGACATGTGACGACTGTCTGGCTGCCACTTCAAATCCCCCACTTGGAACAGCTTTATCGGCTCATATTCCAGCCTCGTCCTGCCTCCTGACGGCTCAAACCCGTCACTCCCACTCCCAATCCTGAACCCCTTCGTTCAAGCACTTTACTCACCACTTATCGTGCATAAAGTCTAGAATTTACCACATTCTTTTCAAAAAAACTCGACTAATTTGATCCCCAGGCGCTGCTTGAGCCTGTCAGGACCTATTCCCACTCGCCAAACCCACATCTGGTGGCTCCTTTGCCTTTGCCTTTGCCACACTTCAGTGCGTCGCTGTGATTTCCTCCTTTTAACTCACCAAAGCGTGAAACATTTTTTCGCAACCTTGTGACCTCGCACACCCACCCACTCATACACCCACAATTTGTAGCCCCCCACACACACATATATCCCAGGCATAGAAATTCAATATTGCTTCTCTATGTCTATGCTAATGAATGGCCCCGTAAAGGATGGCAAAAAAAAAAAAGAAACAAAAAATACATAAACGCGGAAGGAGAAGAAGAAGCAAAAGAGGAGACTAAAGGATGGGAGAGTCAGTCTGACTCTCGCCTGCCGCCTTTCTCCTTTCTCGTTTCGCCTTTCTCATTTTATTTATTTTACCGGCTTCCTGTTGCGGGCTCCTCTTTCGCTTTCGCTCCCACCGCTCGCGCGCTCGCTGCCTTTTTGCGGTTGGCGCAGCAACTAAAAGTATGCAACACTTTTTTTCGCATGTTGCTTTTTGCATATTTAATGGCCGACTCGACGGGGATAGACAAAATGGCGGCGTCGCCTTTTTTGCCGCTCCGCTACTACCCAACTGCTTGCTGCCCCCCTGCCTTCTGCCCTTTGCGGTTAGGCGTTGATTTGTGGCCTCTCAGTTTGTTTGTTGTTGTTTCTGCAGTTGTAGCCTGTGTGTCTATTTGTGGTTTCGGTCCGGGCCGGGCCGGGACGGGGGCGTGCCGTAAAGCTTCCGCCCCTGATGTGACTTTAATGAACTTGGCCGGGTCTGGGCGATGGCGAAAATCAATAGAAACAGGTTTGGCGGGCCCTCCCAACCACTTTGCAACGTCAAGTGCTCTTTGGGGTCTCCAGCCAGTCAAAATAATAACCAAAACAAGGCGCTTTTTTCCCGAGACAGACAGTCGGTAAACAACAAAAAAAAGTTATCAATTGTCATTTCTTTTGTAATGGCTATGCAAATTTCAAGGGAAACCCTTCTTACAATTCCTTATCTATTATTTTTAATATTCGGTTTCCACTCGGATGGCTCGGACATTATTAAATCATTAAAGGAGTTGCCAATCAAATGTGACATTTCAAGTTGAAGTTTCCACATAAAAGGGGGCTTTCGTGCTCGGTCCTCCAAGGATGCGAGGTGATGGCTGCCATTTCGGTTTAGATATATTCCTCCTACTAGACAGTTTCCTTCCGTTTCTGGCTCCTATAAAGTTGCTCCTGCCACTGTTCCTCTGCCTCTGTCACTTTGACTGCGTTGTCATTTGATTTGATTACCACTGAGGGGTTGTTGATGCCACTGCTGCTGTTGCAGTTGCAACTGTCTGCAGACTTGATGGATTATGTGACGTTGGTTGTCTGGCTTGCTGGGCCCGCATGTCGTTGACTTTAAGCTCACTACCCTACAGCAGCAGTAGCAGCAGAAGCAGCAGCCCCACTTCAATCGTAGCCAATTAGTCCCGTCTTAGTCCCTGACTCCCACACCCCCGCAACTGCCTCATTCCATTTAAATGCTGGCTCTTGCTTGATTAGCGCCGCTGAATTGACACAAAATGTCACTTGCAACAGTCGCCTGCCCCTGCAGCCAAACTAAAACCCGATTTTGCGCAATTTACGTCGCTTGTTGTGTGTGCGAAAGTCGCGTAAAGCTGCGAGTCCTTTCAGCAAATTCTGTTAGTGCACTTGCCTTGCGATTTTCCACAGCCTCTCCTCTCCACAGCCTTGCCAATCCAGGCCAGCCCTGATCCAATTGGATCAGATCCGAGGCATGTCAATTGCTTAATTGATCAATTTAATTTGACACTCATTCAAACACTCCGAGCATCGCATCCACATCGGAGGAGGAGGAGAGAGGAAGGCAGCTAGGAAGATAAATATCTTTTGCTTTCTGTTTTTCAGCATAGTCGTCAGTAGAGTCGCTTTTGTGTTTCGATTTATGCAAATTGAGTTGGGGCCATAGCCATATGGCATTCTGTTGGTTCGAGTGCCTCAGATTCTTTTCCATGAACTGGAACTGTGCTTCATCAATTAATCAATTTGGTTGCCAGCAGGGGCGTTCCTACTTGTAATTGCACAACTGCAATATCTGATTTTCTCTTCAACTACTATTTAATATTGATTTTAATTTGATTGTCTGAACAAATCTGAAAAAGATTCAAAAATATTCCCCATTCTTCCGAGTACGCCCATGGGTATATCTTGTGTGTGTTTTTTTTATTATTATTCCCGCCTTCCTTAACTTTTCCAGTTAATCAGGAAGTCCCGACGAACAGCACACACAATTTAATGTTTAAATTTAGAGCTCGGGCGGCAATTTGTTGAACTTTTCGTAGCTCCCCAATTGGAATAACCCAGAAAGTTTCTACGTTGGGAAGCGCTGGGATTCAGTGATGTGGGGTTTTGTGGTGACACTTGAAATGTAAATTTTGTTGATTGATGACCGCTTAGTCTATCCACCCGTTCGTTAGGTAAATTTTGTTATTTGCTGTGGGAGATTTTGTGGCAAAAGGCAGCCAACTAAAGGCATATTCTGGTATTAGATTTATTAGGAAAAAGCAAACCCCAAACCCCACAAAATATTACTTGCCACATTCCCCTATTAGGCGATAAATCGCTCTCTCCTCGCAACGAAAGCAAAGCAAATAGTGCCTTGCCGCAGCACAGCAGAGCACTGCCTAATGGCACTCTTTTATAGCCAATTTAGTGTGTAATTAACTAACTGTACATTTCAATTTATGAAATATGCGCCGACGAAAAATGCCAAGCCAAGCAAAAGTTGCTCGACCAGCGCAAAAAAAAAAACAACCAAAAAAAAACCAGGAATCTAACCGTGGGCAAAGCAAGTTTCAAAGCACCGCCAGGTGCATAGAGCTGGAGTGTCACTATATATTTAACCTACATCATGTGGCCGGCAGCAAGTTAGTGGCAAGAGCCTTGGTAGCCTCTATGTTATGCTATGCATTATCCGAGATATTAGATTACTTAAAAGCTTTCATTAGGCCTAAGAGCCGTGGACATCGCAGATGAAAAATGAGCAATTAGTTGGCAGAGTTATTTGCGGAAGGAAGGGAAAACTCTAGCTGCTCGCAGCTGTTCAAACTTATTAAAATTACAGGACATCAAAGGCAAACACAGGGCTAGGCGTCCCTTTCAAATGGCCAACATCTTTTGGCCCTTTTTTTCCACCTTGTATAAGCCAAATAACCGTTTTCTGGGCAGCTTCTGGCCTAAACTACCGAGCCAGATGGCTATGCTTCTGGGAGGCTGGCTGGGGCATTAAATTAAAGCTGAAAGTTGCTTAGTCTAGGTGAATGGAATCCGGGCCGGAGTGGAATGGAAGGTGGCCAGTCAGCTTTCTAGGCTATCTTTCTTGGTTACTGTGCACACATGCCAGCTGAAATTATTGCTAAATAATAGGAAATGAAAAGCACAAGTCATCCTCGGGCTCAGTCCATCACGCAAACTCACTTTGCATTCACATCCGAGTCAGAATCGACCAGGGAAAGTCAAAGGACGACGATGATGATGATGCTGAGTTCTTTGGAATTTTTTGGCTTCCTTACTTTCCCACCTTCAATTATGTTTCAGTGACTTTTTGTCGAGTTCCAGGAATAGACACTCTTATAGTTGTATTTCTTATTAATTTTAAAAATCTTTCTTTTTCAGATCTTATCATCATGAAGACAAAGGCGAAGAGTGAGGCGTCAGTCATCAGCATGTTTTCCCGCCAGTGCCTTTCCCATCACCCCACCCAGTTGCCACCCACATCCGCCACCCAGTCACCCAGCCACCGATGGAAACTCAGTCTCTGGACCCTGATGATCCTCAGTGGGATGATTCTGCTCAATGCCTCGACCACGACGGCCTTCGATATTGGTGAGTTTGATTCGATTACTGTTATTGGAAGGTCAATAAGAGCTCAAGAACATTACATGATTGGGATGTCATAGGTTTATGGTTTCTAGTTCGGCAAATAAAATCAATTTGAAAAATATGACAGCACTGATGGAATCTGAATCAAAATAAGTCATTCAGCTGGCATCTTTATCTTGGCCCGGCTCTCTACCATAATATTTATGGTTAATCAAGCAAGCCAAATACAAAAACCCAAACACATAAACATGTTTATTTCGAATTTCTATCCAGCAACTCCAGCTTGGCTCCGAAACTCTTAGAAGTTCTGTGTATAGTGCGTCTGGTCTGGTGTGGTGTGGTGTGTTGCCTTTTGCAATATTTGCACTTAATCCCTTCGGCCCACACCCGAATGCCCCTCCAGATGCCAAAGGGAACATTTCTTTGTTGTTATGTTGCAGCAGACACATCGATGCGAGTCGGGTTGGCAAAATATGCAACAATTTTCCAACCGAATGCACTGCCAGTATGCAATTGGATGTCGCAGACAAGAGTCGAGAGTCAGAGCCTGGTCGACTGGCTGTTGACTTAACCTTTGCCATGGACACCCCACCCCCATGGTGGACTTGCCTTGGCCAGGCTATAAAATCCAGCCAAGTGCAAACGTATTCATAGGTTTCAACTTTCAACGGAAATGAAAATGGAAAAACTTTAAATGCGAATTCATGGCCAAAATATTCCCAAGACAAATTGAAATAAGTAATTAAATAAGATTTAAAATAGAAGATAATTAAAATGTATGTGAATTAAGCAAAGACCTTAAGTTCGTTGGGTTGGATGCTCAACAGCCACCCAGGTCCTCCGCTGGATCTGTCTCGTGTGTTTATTTATAAACTTCTGAATGAATGACCGCACCTTGGGCTGGGTGAGATCAAAAGTGCTGGATATCCAGCTGGGAGGGGGCCACAGAAGTCATGTCAAATCAGTGTTGATTCTGGCGAAAATGTTAGGCAGCCCACGGCATCAGACACCAACTTCAGGGTGAGAGAATGGAGTCTCTATCCAGTATTTTCATGAAAATAGAAGTCTTTACTCTGTGTCGCATGCAATTGGAAGGCAATAAATTAAATAAACAAAATGACGTTCTGCCAGTTTAGATATCGCTTTGGCAATGATTAAGGGTTTGGTTTATTCGACAGACAGGCTGTTACTTTTGAGAAAGTGTGACAGGTAAACGTTCCTTATTTCTCGAATTCAAAACGTCAAAACGATGCATCACTGGTTTTGATAGATCGATATGAGGAGGCCTAGATTCTATATTTAAACGACTGTCCCCTTGAGTGGCTGCTGCCTTCATTAATTAAAAGATATGCCTCCTTGAACTAAAAAATTGCTCTTCTTTTTTTTATTTTATTTACAGCAACGTGCAACGTGGCCCTGGGAATGGAATCAGGAGCCATCACTGATGCCCAGATCACAGCGAGTTCGGCTCATGACACGGGGTTCGTGGGTCCCCAGCACGCCAGGTAAGATCCGCAAGAGAAAGCTACCCGAAAAGATCAAAAGACCAACTAAATTTAATCGGACAGCGAACAAGCAAATTAAAAATGAATAGACTTCTGTGGGTACACAACAGTACGCTCTTCGGAAATGTCGATCACCTCTTGACATCTTCCCAGATTAGTGTCCGAGATTACAAGGGCTCGAGTTTTGTCATGCGTCCCATTAGAAATGTAACCCCCGGCCTGGGTGTCCATTTAATTGCTAATTTTATAGACAACTTCATTAGCCGATAAGACGGAGTCCATAAAATCGAAAAGCTCGGCCTACCGCTCAAAAAGCCAATCAATGACAATGGAATTTATGTTATGACACAAGCAGTTGAATCACCCGAAATACAAATACCCCAAAATAACAAAAGATCTTCTCCGTTTTGCATATCTGACTGGTGGAGAGGAAAATATTTTAGCTCGATCTAGCGCCTTTGAAAGCCATAAAAGATAATCTCCCATCGCTGATGGGAAATCATTCTATGAATATGGAAAAGTCTGATGGCTATTTGATGGCAGAAGATATCCGAGAAGGAACTGTCGGCAGCTCTTTAGAGTTCCAAGCTAATTAAATGCAATTTCAGAAATCTGAAATGTGGAAAACCGGTTGCCTTGCTTCATTTCTCCGCCAGAGTGCCACAGAAGTTCAATCGGGTTTTGCGGCAGACAGGGGTCGGGTGGAGGACGGTGGTCTCAGTGGTATTTTATTTTCTTCTAGGCTGTTTATATTGCATTGGCGCGGTTTCGTTTGAATTGAAGTTTATGAGAGTTGGCCTATTTGGGAATGGGGAACGGGGCTACAGGAAGTACGAGCCAGTAAGGTAAAGAGATTGAAGCGGAAGTTTCGTAACTACCCATGAATGATGACACCATACGGCCCAGTCATAAGGGCCATTGCAGGCCGTGTAATTAGTATTCAGTAACACCATGATTTAGGGGCAAGGGGAGGACCTCATAAACATGTCAATTACCACGTGAGTTACAAGCCAGAAATCAATGCAAATACATCGTTCTTAGCTTTTCTTTATTCCGTTCCTCGCAATAATTTGCTGTACGCCTTTATGGGCATGCACTTAAAAAACACTTAAGTGCAGGGCTGACTGACAACCACTGAACCATCGAGGCATCGAACCACCGCACCACCATCGTCAAGGCATCATTAACATTAACCCTTTATGGCGGCACTAAAGTAAAACCACAAAAACGACGCGTGATGAGCACGTCGGAGATAAACAAAATACATTTTTGTGTTGCCCCATCTTTGGTTTTTGGTCTGTGGGAGATTAACCAGAATTCTGACTAAAAGGGGGCCAACTCACATGAGTTCTGTTGGGCTTGCAGCAAAAAGTTGAGACAAAGACTGGTGGCACAGGGTCTGTGACTGGGAAGAATCGAAGAATCGCAAGACAGAAGTCTGTGAGGTCCGCGGACTCTCAACCTGTCTGACTGGCTAAGTAGCTCCAATTGACAAGGGGTTTCGGGCACTGGTAAGGCCTAATGGAAATGCACATATTTATTATTGTGCTCGGGCCCTTAAAAACTGAAATTAAAGAGTGCTCTTGTGGGCAAGTTTGGTCTGGTTCTAGCGTAAACTAATTTCCCTTTTGTGAAGTTAAGTAAAGTTACTTTCCAGCTGGCAATCCCCACCGCTCTTAACCCACTGCCATGGACAGGCAGAAACACTCTAAACTCCACAGAGAGTGGCAACTTTCTTTTGTCTTTCAATTGTGGAGCCCCTCAAGTTCGCGGCAAGTCCAATCAGGCGAGCTGCAATTTGCTTAACCGAAACTTCCACTTCCAGCAAAGTTCAAAAGTGCAGGCAGCATTATAATTTGTGGCTGCCGTGCACTTACTTACTATACCTAACTGAGCTAACCTTCCCCGAAAAAAGTAAAAAAAAACGAAAATAGAGAAGTGCTCGAGAAAGCCCGCAGTAATTCCCCGGACAGACCCAAAGGGGGGCAGCCTAACAAGCACTTACGACAAATCACTGAAAGGAATGGGGACCCTTAGGATCCATCCATGGGATGACTACGACAACCTAGTCGACGTCTGGGGCTATTGAATTACAAAGATTAGTTTAATGGCAGTTGGCGCTGTTTGATTTTCATTACCGCGCCCATCGTCCGTGACTGTCAGACCATTAAATTTACAGCCTTTTACATATTACTGGCCCTGATGGACGGAAAAGAAAAACTCCGATCCGGCGCCCGATTAGAAGCCCGGTTCCAGGACATCCTAAAGGCAGTTAGCCAGTCCATCAGCGACTGGAAATGAGCAGCTGACGGTGGCGCAGATTGTTAACTTTGGCAATAACAATAATTAAAGTCAGGTTGAAATGCACATAACTGCGAATATTAGCATTTTAAATTATGCTTGTTCTCTTCAGTCTTTATGGTCCTCAGTCTTTGGCTTCAGTCTTTTTTCTTCTCCCTCGTCATGCCCCAGAGCTATTTACTGTGCTCTGGCTACTGAAAGCTGAAGCTGGGGCCAGAGACCCGTAGCCTGAGGAAAGCAAACAAAAAAAAATCCCAAGCAATTTTATTAAAATTAACCTTCTTAGCCAGCTCTTATTAGGATGGTCCAGGGGCCTGGGCCTGGGCCACTTTAATCTATGCTCTTTGGCATGAGATTAAATTTATTTACCTTTAATATACCTTCTTTCTCGCTGTGCACCAGAAACTAATCAATTTCCTGGAGAGTCTTTGGAAACTAGGTATCAGAGGGCTCGATTAACGATATATAGTAGTTAGGGGCCCATGAGTGATGCCCCGACATTAGGGCAGCCACGATGCAATCAAGCATGTACGGGCTTAATTGAAATTTAAACCGAAAAATATGGTAATAGTGGTTAACGTATTGAGAGGCAAGTGGAAGAGCTGCTGTCTGGGCTATAGGCTAAATTAATCCTTAATTACACAGACGACGTCCTGCTGCGTCTAAAACCGCAAACAGCTTAACGAGCGAGACAAGCTGCCAGACGCCGCACCACAATCGCCGGTGGTTTGGCGGTGGTGGTGCGGGTAGGGGCGGATGCTGGCGGTTGGGGGCTCGGAGCTGGGGGCTGGGGGCTCTGTGTGGTGCCGAATGCTTAATGTCAGTTAATTTATAAGAAAAAGCTACGTAGTGGCAACTGGTTTTTATTTCATAGAGATCCCCAGCCTCCATCGATGGTGCCTAATTAATAAAGTCCTCTGCGTCTTCCGCTTTCGTTTCAGACTGAAAACCGATAATAATGGAGGAGCCTGGTGCCCCAAGCACATGGTGTCGAATGCGCTGAAGGAGTACTTGCAGGTGGACCTGCTGCAGACGCACGTGATCACGGCCATCAGGACCCAGGGACGCTTCGGAAAGGGTCAGGGCCAGGAGTACACCGAGGCCTATGTGCTGGAGTACTGGCGGCCGGGCTTTGATAAATGGCAGCGCTGGAAGAACATCCAGGGAAAGGAGGTGGGTTATTGTCAACTCAAGACTCTCAAGTTCCAGGTAATCCTTATTTTTGTATCTCTTTTGTAGATCCTCCCTGGTAACATCAACACCTACAGTGAGGTGGAGAACGCCCTGCAGCCCATCATCTTTGCCTCCAAGATCAGGATCTATCCATATGGCCAATACGATCGCACTGTGTGCATGCGAGCGGAGATCGTCGGATGTCCCTGGGAAGGTGAGTCTCTTAGGCAATGGCCTGCCGACATGTGCAACAATAGAGCTTAACGCTTAGCACAGGCTTAGTGTCAGTGCTAATTTCTATGAGCTATAAGGCAGCTAAAAGCCGATTAAAGTAACATCATGAAATGAGAATTAGTCAGGCTGATTTACTCAAGAGAATATCATACTCTACCCATCTGTTTAGCAAGTATGTAGCACAGTGGCTACTTGCCACAAAATTATTATAAAAGGAGTGCATACAAATATTTCTATTAGCCTTGGAAACAACTCGTAATGAGCTTGTTTCACGAAATCGCATGACCTGCAAACAAGTTAAGTCCTCGAGGCGAAACAACCTTCTCTGAAAAAGGAATTTTTAAAAGCTTGCAACCGCGTAATCCAATCAAAAGGATTGCTGCGCCTATGTTTGTGGCACATACACACACCCGGCATCAACTGTGTTGCATTTCTCTGGGATTTTCCCTTCCTTTTTTTCGATTTTTTTTTTGTTTTTGAATTTCACATGAAACTTGACTTTGTTTTTTTTCGGTTTTTAACGGCGTGTGCAATATGTACTTGGAATATATCGCGTGCAGACATAAAAAAACATACCCAGTCCAGAGCTGAACCGCAATTGAAATCGCAGACGGCGACAACTCGGGGCAGACAACCCGACCATTGAAAGAAAAAATTAGTCACTTAGGTGGCTGAAAAGTAAAAGCCATAAAATCCTCTTCTTTCAGTGCAGTCGTATAACCTGGCGAGGTCTTCCGAGTTCAGGTTTGACGTTTGCACGCAATTTTCAAGTTGTTCCCGAGCCAGAAACAAGTCTGGACAAATACATTTTTCTATAATTTCCGCGACTACACGGCAGCAGAACTCCACAGGCGACGATAACACAATGCCAGTTGGCAAAAGGCGTCTAATGACAATTTGTAGCCTCGAGTCCTTGGGGTCCTTGGGGGCGAAAAAAAGGCGCGGAAGTAGAAAATTATTCTGCAAATTAACGCAGTGTTTGGGTCAGGGCTTTTGGGGCACAAGCTGGGGAATTGAAGTCCCTCCCAGTCTTCAGTCCCTGAAACTATATGGCACGCCTACCATCCTGTCCGCAGAGGGGCAGGAGGTCTAGACCTCTAGACATGCAACTTCTGACCGTTCAAATTTTGCGGCCATGTCATTTGATTTGCCACGGGGAATGTGAACACGAGACGACATGGCGCATTTCATATGCAAATTAAACAAGATAAGATTCGAATGGATTGTAGTGGCAATACATTGGAGTAGTGGACGGTAGATGGGTCTAGACAACTACCAGACATACCGTACCACTGGGGGCCAGTGGGCGGAGAAATCAATAAACTCGTTTTATGTCCGCGCCGATTTGATTTCAACTTCGACTCTAGCTGTAGCTCTAACTCCAATATGTGATCGTTAATCCCCTCAAAAGGGCACTGAAACGATTCATAATTGTTTATAAATTGTGTCCATAAATTTTGGCCACTGTCTGGCCGGGCATTTGAATTCGAATCGATCTGACCGCACCTACGGGGAAACTAGGGCCGCACCCCGAATTCTCATTGGTAGCGCCACAATTTGAGACAAATGGGGTTTGGGGTTTGGGGTCTGGGGTCTGGGCGGGTCATGTCATGGCCGGAGATTATCTCCGACTTTGATTTCTCAAGCGGAGCTAAACTGAAGTTCGTTATGATTTAGAAAAGGAAAAACTATAAAGCTCAGTCATTATAAATGCAGCAACTGATTAGCGCTAAGCTCGGGGACTTATGGCACCGACCACCGATGCCCACTGCGAGGTGTCTTCGTCTTTAATTTATGGATCCCTTTCGGAGACCCACACACGCTCTTGTTGTGTGGCAATCGCCAGTTCACTGAAGAAGTCGCCGGATGACCAGGCGGCAGGTGGGATAAGCGAGAGTGTGAAATGCTTTTACCATTTTATCTTGGAGCTGGGAGAAGCTCTACTTCTCTACCGGTTAGGGCCCTCAATTTGGGGCATCAACAACTTTTTTTTTTTTGTTGGGGTTGCGTGTCTTGCGTGTTGCAGTCGCTTCAACGTGGAGTCGCCCACTCCACGTACTTAAGCAAAGTCTCGTTTTATTTTGCTCATTTTTCGGCAGCTCCCCAAAATCCATTCCAGACTGTCGCGACACGCAAATCGGAGGCAGGCAACCAAATAACAACCCAGACATACTCCCCATATATACATATGTATATGTATGTCCCATGAGGAGTGACTGTGGTAGTTGTGCTCTTTAACCCATCAGAGTGCCCCTGCCACCGAATGTTGCGTGGCAATTGTAAAGAGCAGTGCCGTAAATGTCTTTGCAGTTAATTAAATACACCATACATTTTTTTACACTCGATTTAATATCGTGTCGGGGCATTATCTGCCAGTTTCCGTTCTTCTGGGCATTGTAATTAAGGGCGGTTTCTCTCCATACAAATACCCGGTTCGGAGTGCCTTGAATAATAATTAATATTTTTATTCGGACAACCCGCCCACCCATCGCCGGCACACGCATGATCGATAACTCCAGTGTGCCACCGCCTACCTGAGCGCCTCGCCTTGCCTCATAATCATCATTATCTATGCCCCGTGCGGCATGTGGGATTTCGGTTTCACTTCGTGCATTAGAGATATCTCCCCCCATCGGACCCCCCCCTTAATTATGTGTAATTATGTGATTTTTGGTAATTATTGGAAAATTCCTTCGACCGGCACCGGTCGTGTCTGTTGTCCTGCGAGATTCGTGGGTAGCCGTGTGTCCTGTTTACCACGTGCCCCGATTGTGCAAATAGAAATTGTAGTGAATTAGTTAAACGTGTTCTTGAGCGGCAGCCCACTCCAAAGGCTGGCTTTAATGGCCATGTTTGCACTGCGTGCCAGTTCCAAATGTAATTATTTTTCAAGTACCCAGCCAAGGCAATTAGGAATAGTATTTGTTTTTGGGTGTTTGCCGCAATTTTCTTAACCATACCCTGGCACTTTCACAGAATTTGATGATCCTTTATCAAATAAAGTGGTTCGTTGAACGAAAGACATGCCTAAGTCGTGGCTTAGCTCACCGAAAACCATTTGACTTTGACATTGAAATAGTATATGCGGGATATTGTCACCCAAAACTCCTTTCGATTTGGTTTAAAAATAACCACAAAAACCAAGTGGAAGTCTTAGTGGGGGAGGCATTACACAATTGTGTTTCCAGTAATTTAATATGCCTTGGGAGGCAGAGTTAATCCTACTTAGGAGGGAGGATTATATTGAAACTTTAGACTTCAGACTCTAAAATGGCAAATCAAAGAGTTAATCATGTAAAATATTCTCACTTTTATTAGCATTTTCTATATCCAAGGTATATGTTTTAGTCCCAAGGTCTTCTAGCCGAAATGCCCCTTTCAAATCTGGAAAAATCCTGCCACAGAGCTGCCACCAAACTTATTTCTGTCGGTTGTCTGCCTCACTTGACACGAAACACGATACAGAATGACGTGTGCCTGTGTCTCGGGTTTCTTTATTTTTGGAGTTGGAGTTGGGGGCATCGGTGTCCCCCAAGCGGCTGCACTTTAAGTTTTAATTTCCCACTTTTATTTTCCTTTGCAGAGGGCATTGTGTCGTACAGTATACCGAAGGGCGTGCAGCGCGGCATGGAGGTGGATCTGTCGGATAAGACCTACGACGGAAACGAGCAGGGCGACCGGTACGTGGACGGCATCGGCCAACTGGTGGACGGCCAGAAGGGCAAGGACAACTTCCGGACGGACATCCATGGCTTCGGAAAGGGTAAGTGTTTGTGCGTTGGCCCCCTTTTCAATTTCAGCTTAGATCTTGCAGATTTGCAAGCTGCCGTCTGCAGCTCTCGGTGTCGGCTCCCTGCATACTAACTAACGTCTTGGGCTATGAAAAGTTGGCCCCTAGGAGCCGCAAACTTTTACCATATATTCCAAATCCAAAGATTTATGGCTATGTAAAAACTGATTAACATCAAATAATTACTAAAGTTCAGCGACGGGAACGGAAAACGGCATAAGGCTAAATCGGAACCCCATCTGCCCCATCCGAAGTCCCCCCCAAAATGAAAGCTCTCACTTCATTGAACATCGATGATGGTGGAGATGGGTGGGTCTAGGGGTCTGGGGAAAAAGTTTCTGCTTTAGCAAATAATTTGCTGCACACAATAAACAAAAATAAATTATAACTTTCGACTATATTTGCTGGAGTCGCAGTAAAACTTGCCCGGATACCACCGAAAAGCCCTCCCGCCCAGGGCCCAGGAAAACTCGCCCTCAAAGTACTCGCCCCCTTGGCGCAGCTTGGCGACTGCCAAAAAGTAAAAATGTAAACATTATGCATATTTGATAATTTATGGCAAGACTGGCATTCATTTCCGCCCCAAACGTCTGCCAAATATCGTGAAAATAGCAAAAGCTAGTCAGCTAGCCAGCCAGCCAGTTTATTTTCAGGCATTTTCACTCTCACCGCCCCGAAAACCAAGTTCCCATCATTATTCTTGGCTGTTTGGCAAATGGCCAATAATCGAAAATATTGGCAACTTTGGGCAGGAGGAAAGTTTGCTCCGCTCCAACAATTAGAAAGGCAGTCGCAGTTCTCGATCCCCAATCCGCAGTTCCCAATTCGCAATCCGCAATTTCACAGACAGAGACACAGTCGAGACAGTGTCGTAAAAAGTCCAACTGTCTTGATGCCAAAGTTTTTCGGTGCATAATTCCAATATTTTTTTTGGACTCATTTTTATGGGGATTATTTTGGCGAACTTTGCTGATTTGCATTCTAAGTGGGAATCAATAGTTGAGGCGAGCTGGGCGAGTAATGATTTAACTTCCTGGGAGCTGAAATTATATAATTCCTGGTTACAGCTTGTTTGCCATCCTCATATACCCATTGGAGGGTTGTAGACCTTGTGGGTGCCAGCTAATATTGCATGACTTATGCAGGGAATACCCTCGGTCTCCTCTAGGGCACTCCTGCCTGGGTCCTGCCATTTGGCCCATGCCCTCCTTCCTACCTCCAACAAGCCTCCAACGATATTAGGGCCATGCAAACAAAGCCGCAGCGGAAAAAATGGCTTAAATGTCGCATTGGCCATAATTTCTAGTTATACCAGAGAGTCTACCCCCCTAGAAACTAGCCCAGACTAACGCACCATCATGCCACCATGCCACAGCTTGCCGTGAGCATTTATTTGTTTTGTGGCATTTGGGTATTTTTGGGGCCAGAATTCACCCCTGAAATGTGGCACAGGGGATCCAATGTTGGGGGTATCCAAGGCTTAAATAGCTTTACATGTCAGTGCTCCACAGGGTTGCTCTATTGATTTCCCCCTTCCCGGCGGACGTTTGAAATGCTCATTTCATTTCATTCTGACGGTTTTTATTCGTTTCAGGATATGAATGGATTGGCTGGCGCAACGATACCCCCGGCCTGGTGGGCAAACCGGTTGAAATTGTCTTTGAATTCGATTCGGTTCGCAATTTCAGTGCCATCGTGCTCCACACAAACAATATGTTTACCAAGGACGTTCAGGTGAGTACCAATACCCGCAATTTTCTGAAAGGTTGCCAACCTCAAACAGGAGGCATCCGGAGCCGATGTCAGTGGTTAGCTGGTTTGATTTGTAAAGGCTTACTTTTGGCAGAGGATTCACTGAGAAATAGTCATGCAAAAAATGGGAATAATATTTCTCATGAAAGATTATGCCAGTTATGAAGGCTTAAAGTAATAACCAATTTGTTTTTCATATTATCTCCCTCAGGTATTTGTTCATGCCAAAGTATTCTTTAGCATCGGTGGACGCTACTTCTCCGGAGAGCCTGTACAATTCTCGTACATGCCCGACACCATAATGGATCATGCCCGGGATGTGACCATTAAGCTGCATCATCGTGTGGGAAAATACTTGAAAATAAATTTGTACTTTGCCGTCAAATGGATAATGCTATCGGAGATCAGCTTTATATCCGGTGAGTACGTGGGGCGGTGTTCAGAGGTGGCAAGTCGCATGCAAAGCTAAGAAAATTGTCAGAAAATTGCATTTGCCGTGCCGAGCAATAAATGAGCGACTAACTCGGGCCCAGGATGCTGTAGGAAGTTGAATTGCATATGTGCAAATGCATTTTTCAGCTCCATTTCACCCTCAAGTATGCGACAACGGAACTGTCGGGAGAGTGGAAGCTGCAATGCATTTAACTTAACAAAGGGATAAAGCAATTTTCCAACATTTTGGGTAACAACAATGAGCCTGGGGGGAGGGAGGGCTCACACACACATATTCGCTATGAAAAAAAAAAAAAATAAGGATGAGGATGAGGATGAGGTGGACTATTCGGAGATATTCGTAGAGTGAACATTTTCTCCAGCTGGTACAATAAAGTCAATAGAATGCCCAGAGTACATCCCCATGCTAAATGTAAACAATCTGGAACTTTGAGGTAACTGCAGTGCCTGGCATTCGGTGTATTTTAAATTCGCATTCTCTGCGAAGGCTCGGGCATGTTGTAGTGCGTCCTTGTTCCCAATCCCGAGTCCCGGCACATTGCCAGACAGTGCCGGTGCAGGCTCGGTTTTTAACCCCGTACTACAAATTACTTCATGCGAGTAAATCTGTTTGAACAGTCAGTATAGGATATGCAGGATCGTTTATATTCATAGGCACATCGGTGGTGAATCGACGGAAATCCCCGCTTGCCAGTCGATAGGTGTAAAATCAGACTAATGGATAAAATCCTCTAGCACCATAGAGCGTGCCACACAAAAAGGGATTTCATATATAATGCTTTTTTTGACAGATGGTACATGGCTTTGGCTCTGGCTCTGGCTAGGGTCACTGACAGGAGCGAACAATGGGTTTATGGAGGGATGCTGATAATAAATCGATCGATCGCCAGATTTTAAGGTCAATTAGATAGGCACACATGGAGGGGGAAGGAAGAGGAAGTCGGAAATCTAAAGTCCAAACAAAAGTATATTAAAGCCCAATATAAAGATTTATAAACTGAATCCAATGAATGGGAAATGAATGCAGTCTCTTGAGAGCATCTGCTATTTCTTTGAATTTAATTTCGCTTTGAACCGAAAGGTCTGAGCCGCGTTTTTTAAGTGATTCCGGCTAAAAAGGGAATAACACTTGACTGACGATCAGCAGCGGCATTAGACGGCAATAAGTTTAGACAGTAGCAAGGGCCAAGGATAAAGGATGTGACTGAGGATGGAATATGGTTGCCGTGGTGGCAGCAATTACATGACGGGACAAAAACCAGAAACACGGCAACCGAGCATTTGTCACGCACACAATATGTTATAGGACATATGATGGTTTTGTTCGGTTTAAGATGGCAGGGGGCTCTGGCACTGGCTCACTGTGGGAACTGGTGCTACGCTTCCCGAGTGGTAACCAGCTGTTTTTTTATATATATGGTTTTTTTTATTTTCTTTGGCATTCGAGTGTAGTATAGGCCTGCCTCTAAGAGATGGAAACTGGGGTAAGGGTAAACAAAAGACGGAGAAGCCCTTTTCGAGGGTATGTGCGCATATTTTTATCAGGCTGAGGCTCTGGCTCAGTGCGGAGTGTATACAGATTTAACCCCAATTTGTGAGATTTGCTCGCGGTGATTGCTGCCTGTCGTTGTTGTTAAGGTTTCTAAAAATACAAAAGCTAAAAAAACAAGAAAACAATGCGTGCAGACTCTGGGGGCGCACACAAGGGGAATTAGTTATAAAAGGCATGCGACAACATCAACAAGAACTGAGAACCGAGTACCAAGAACTGTGACCTGAGTCCTGTGGCACTGTGGCAAAGGATATGCGGCATAATCGCCCTTGAGTCTCTTTCACTCTGTGGTGTATATGATAAATGTGGCACGAAATATTTTAATTATTTTAATCGTTTTATGGCGGTTGGGCGATGCCAGATAGCTTCCATAAGAATGAAGTACTCTGGAAGAAAAGTACGGCCAACCGAAGGACAATAGGAGTTTCGAAACAAAGGACATCAGACCCATTTCTGTCTAAGGAACATAACTCAAAACAGCAGCTTCAGCTTTCGTCCTTACCCATCCAACTCCATTTCTCCCCAAGAACCGGGTCTCTTGCAGCCTCCCAGTCTCCCAGTAATTACGCCATTTACTGCCTCACAAAAATGGGGTCAGCCACTCTGGGAACTATTTTTTGGCCAGCCCGGGCCTTGCCCAGCGCCTGTGCCTCAGCCTGGGCCTGGGCCTGGGCCTGGGCCTGGGTAATTCATGTAAGCCAGCCACCAAGGGGAGGACGCCCACCCCTAAACGGTTTTGCTTTGTTGTGCCCTCAAGATGTTGGCGAGATAAATGACAACACTTTGCCATGGCACTGGACCATATGCCTTGCTTTAAAATTCCCGAGAAACATAAGCTGGGCGGTCTTGCTTTCGAGATCAAAGCAAATTCTAGACGGGCATGGCAAATGCCTGAATTTTCAGGTATCTTGACGGATAACCATAGTCTCATGTAATCCGGAAGCATTACTAAATAATTCATGTGAAAAAGCATAGATAATTAGGTGGAGGAAATACTTATTTAAATTCAAAAGGAATCGTATAAGTAACCTCCATGTTCATGGTTAGATACGGAATAGAGTTACTAAATGGTAAAAAAATAAAAGAATATTTCCTGAAACATACTTAGACCTTCCAAGGCAACGCCCTGAAAAACATATTAAACTACGAGGCAGATCTGGGGGCAGGACAGATGGTGGTAGGGCTTCCCTCGACTACAAGATACCTGGTACTCCTCCCATAAATACCCAAGGGTTATATATGATATTCACATCTAATATTGAAGGAATATACCCTTCTTCCCTACCAAATAATGAGTATAAAAAAGCGTGGCAAAAGAAATACAATTTAAGGCGTAACAGGGAAAGGAAAAACTAATCATTGGAGCACAGCTGCATACAAAAACTTCTCGAGATGAAAAAGGGAATGAACTCCTATTCAAACTGTGTCTTTTCTTTGCCCATATATTCCAGTGCCCGCTATGGGAAATTTCACGGACGAGCAGGAGCACCGCAGCATCCCGCCCAGCCAGACGCAGGATTCGCGGGAGTATCCGCTGCAGAGTAACGACTATCAGCACAAGCACGGAAAGAACAAGCCCGGCGGGGCGAATGGAGCCGGTGACGAGGGCGGTGCTGGGCTGGCGGGAGGTGATTCCGCCGGAAAAAGCAAATACAACAACGGACCACAGTGTAAGTAGCTGAACGATGATGAATTCAATTAAATTTCCCGTGTTTTCCCTACTGGGCCTTTTGTTCTCGTCCAGCGTCCTCGAACGCCAGCTAATTATTTAGTTGGACAATATTTACATTTTATTTCGTTTCGCAACGACAGCGTTTGTTAATTTCAATTTCAATGTGCAATGTGCTTTCGTTACAGTAATTGCACCACGCCCCATCGATCAGGAGCCGAACGACGCCAACTTCATTGGAGTGGTCATCGTGGTGCTGACGACAATTATCATCCTCCTGGTGGCCATCATCCTGTTCATCGTCTCGCGGACGAAGCGAGCCCGCGGCAGCAATGTCCTCGACGCCTTCCAGTACAGCTTCAATCCGAACACCCTCGGCGGCACGGCGGACAAACACCGCCCAAATGGCAACGGCATCAAGGTGGGTGTTGCAAGACTGCGGCCAGGCCTGGCCGGGGATAGCCGGCCTGCCCTGGAATTTAATAAAATTGTTCAATGTAGCGTGGAGTTTTCTCTTCCGTTCTTTTTTTTTTTGCACCCAAGCTTAGTCCTTAGTCCTACGTGCGTCCGTACACACTGTCATTTATTTAATGGCACTTTTCTCCGATCCACGGAAATGTGCTGGGTGTTACAGGTCAAGCTCAGAGTGCTAGGGAATTTTAAAGTTCATTTCCACAAAAAAAATCCAAGATTAAGTGCTAAGCTTGAAGAAATGTAAGGTGGAGTTTAATCTAAGAGGGTTTTTTTCGGGGAAAGACAGTTGAGCTTTCAATTATTCTCAACCTTAGTTCTAGACCCCTGGTACTCCTTAGTTATATAATATATTAAAACCTTTACCTTTCTATTTTCTTGAATTTCTTCAGGCCAGTGCCGATGACAACGATTCGATTGGCAAAAACAGTCTCTACCACGAGCCCTTCAATGTCAACATGTACACCAGCGGCGTGAATGGCTATGCGGCGGTTAATGATTTGCAGTGTAACATGACGCCGGACTATACAGGTGAGTAAGCCCCCCCATTTACCCACACACCCCTCCTGTCCCCTGGGCCCCCATAATCACCCTCCCAAGTGCGGTAAATCCTCTGTCGCATTTCCGCTGGATGTCGCGTGAAGAGCCATATTTTATGGCGTCGCCGGCAACTGAAGCCAAAAACATTTTTCTGGCCATTTCCCCGACTAAATAGACTTTCTCCTCGCTTTTTCTTTACTCGTCGCTGGCGCACAGATGTTCCGGAAGGTGGCTACGCGGTGCCCCACATGCAGGATTACATGCCCTCCTCGAAAATGGGCGTGACGACTGGGCCGGGTGGCTACATGAATGTGCGGCGCACGCCACCTCCTCCACTGAGCAGCATCTTTCCCCGACCGCCCACCGTGCCCCCGCCGCCCATGGAGAAGTATTACGCCACCACTGCCATCTTCAAGCCGCTCAAGGGGCCGGGCTCGGAGCGGAGTGGCAGCAGCAACACCAACACGGTGAGCAGCGGCGGCGGCAAGAGCAGCCACAGCCACAACAGCCAGGAGCACAGCGGCATCTATGACGACGGCATGGGCACCATGAACTCCCAGTCCACCGCCCCGATGATCAATCCCTACAGCAGCGGGAGCAGCTCGGCGGCCGGCGCGGCGGCAGCAGCGGAGTTCCAGCGCGCCAGGACGTACAACTTCCGCAGCTATCCCGACAACCTTTAGTTCGAGACCTCGCTCAAGTTGGCAGCCGAGGCAGGATACGGTCCCGGTGCCGGCGGCGGGCTAGGGGGTGGTGTCAACGGTGGCAGGGGAGCCGAGTTCGTCCCCGCCTCCAAGCGGTTGGGTTCGAACCCGGCCGGAAGCACCACCATGCCAAAGAAGCCACAGCACCTTAGCCTGGCCAGCACCACATCGGCTGGTAGCAGCAAGCCCAAGTACAGCCTCACCCTGCACAACGGCAAGCACGGCCCTGGCGGGGGCGGAGGCGGTAAAAACCCTCAAGCCGCCACCTTGCAACAGCGGCAACATGTCAAGGCCCTGCGGCTGACGCGCGAAGCGCCAGAGACTCCGGCCTACAGGCTACCCGCTGGGCTGGCACAAGGAGCCGGACGTTCGCCCTCCGAGGAGGCGGGGGCTGTGCATCTCAAGGCTGCCAACGGCGAGGATTCGACTAAGTCAAATGGAAACGAGAGCACTGCAGGATGCAGAGGCGAGAATGGATCTGGAGGCGGAATGGCGAACGGAGGTGTCGTCAGGACACAAAACAAAAGGCTGTGGTATAATTGATGAAAACCCCACATTGAATGGATTTGAGGTGAGACTAAATATTTAATATATGGGGAGAAATATTGATTAAATATTAAATGAATTGATTATTTAAATTCAAGTTTAAATTTCAGTGTAAGAGCTGAAGTAAGAGCCCCTTCATTCAAAGGGTTTTATATAAAAAGGTTTTTTTTTTCTTTATATCCTTTAAAAAGGATTTGGGCTAAATTTAGAAATACTCTTAGGGATATTGAATAAGAATTTCCTTTGAATGAATGCCTTTGAATAACCATAGCTATTCCCTTTGCTTTGTATCTTCTTTTTTTTAGCACCGACACTCTACCGGATATCTGATTGAAACGCAACAAGAACAACCAGTTAATGCAAATGCTAGATAAGTTGGGTCTTAGCCCCCCACAATGCACAAAGAAAAAAAAAACAAAAGCATCGGAACAATTAAACCCACTGAGCAAACACTGAGAAACAAATCGAATCGAAAACGAAATCATTTCGCCTACCAATCATTTATATATTGTAGGGCCGAGAATATGCCAACGAACGTATGTAGGTAATGAATACTGTCTAGATATCACCCTGTAAATATTCGAATATAGCAAGAAACACTTAAAAAAAGAAAGAAGCTGAATTTTAAAAATGAAAAAATGAAACCCGGTGCATCGTAGTCAATGTGCAGAAATCATGAGCAAACAATATATATTGTATATGAATCAATAAAATATTCAAACGAATTTAAGGTCTAGCATTTAGCGACATCATTTGGTTATAAAACGATGAAGGAAAATATTAAAAATTGAGTAAATAGACATAGGACTAACTAGATTATGATAAAGTTCAACTGATTTGTAGTACCTTTTCGAGAAAGAACACTGAAAATCTGCAAAAACTATCTCTTTACATTGCCTGTGAACCTATACTACCCCTGATATATGCCCAAAGGATAACTATCTCAGAACCCCCACACTCAGACACACCATACACACACCCATTCTCACATACTCAAGTTCCCCTGTAAATTTCTGTGTATAAACTTAGAAAAGTATCCGCGAGATACGTAGATTGTTTGCTATAGATGAAAACGCGAAAGGAAACGTCAACCGAGAAAGGATTATGAGGATGATGATGATACCAGTATGATAAAATTGTAACGGAATTTAACGGACCAAGAGAGCGTGCAGAGCGACGTCGCCTAAACCAATTAAAATGAAGTTTTCATCAATGATTTGTGATTCAATATTCAACTACTTATAGAGATGCAGGAGCGAGTATTTAGTTCTTATTGCTAACTTTAATTTATCGAAACGTACTACCCAAATGACTCTGACTATAAAACGAAAGCACTATGAATATTTAAAACGAAACGAAAACAACACGTATATTATATATATTTAATAATAATGGATAATCATGTATATGTTCCTTTTTAATTTAATGCGCATAAGTATCACCATAAAATGTAATACTAGTTAAAAAACAACCGTAGTAGCTTCGTAGTAGTTTAAAAACAAAAAAGCATCAGCAAAGATTACAGCGTTTTATACAAACAGAAGCTTAGGCAAACAATAGGCGTGTTTCAAATAGCATTTAAAGTAAACAAATAAAACAAAAACACTCCAAACACTGCAAACAATTTCACGGCGAAAAGTAGTCAACAAACTTAAAAAAAAAATAATAGTAGAAAATTAAAAGAAAATAAACAAAAATACAAAAAACACTCGAAAACGCAGACAAATTATTCGAAATGTTTGTGAAACATTTTTCCAAAGTTTTAACGAGAGATCGTTAAGCATTAAAGATAAACGAGCTAAAATTAAGCAACAAGTTACAAAATATTTCAAAATATTTAATAAAATTAGGCTCTGAAAATAAGTCTGTACGTATTCCTCAACATTCTGCACAATTTCTTAACTTTCTAATCTTCTTTTGCACTTGATGTTTGCCAACACACTGCCCCACTAATTCACAAAACAATGCGAAAATTCAATGCGACACTGAGAAAAAAGAAAGTTATTTTACAGAAATGACAAAAATATGAAACACACACTATCACACTATCGAGCAAAACCAATCACGAACCTACCTACAAGACTTGTGTAAAATAAAACGTAAACAAAATGCTAAATAAAACGTTTAGATATTAAGTTAAAAAAATACATTTTGTAAAAATTAATAGGAGTACACTGTACAAAATTATAAACTAATGTAATGGTTATGCGTTCTTTTGGAAATCAAGGCAAAACTCATAAAAAGAATATATGTTTTTTTTCGGTGCGCTTGTCAGTTGATTTCCTGAACAGTTTTATTTCTAAATTAATTTAAATGCATTTATTATGTGTACATTTTTCAAAAGCAAATATATAGTATTCAATTATTTAAAGCAAAATTAACTAAAGTGTTTTTTATTGATGGGGTTTTTAAAGAATTAGGGAGCTATTGATCCCACGCAACAGGAAAAGGTTTCCCATGATTCTTTCATGCCGAACAACTATCTTGTTTACTTTGGAAATACCATATCATCCTAAAGAATCCTAAGAATATACATCTTTCAAGGAAATACATTATGGGATATCTGTGAGGATTGGATATTGTCATCGGGCTGTCATTGGGAACTTGCAGTTCAAAGAATTCGAGTCAACATTGTCAATTCACTGATATTTTTGAGGAACCAAGTAAACAGAAATACTTCGCCAAGATAAACAAATACCAATCAACGAGGTCTGTAAACAACCTCCCAAGGCATACCATCCAAAGAGTGCCAAACTCCGGTTCATCGATCTATGGGAGTCATCCTTTGGGAGCTGCTTTAGGAATATAAACATACTGTTTATATAGTACAGAAGTCCCCCGAGGTCCCTTGAGGCATTAATCAGAGCACTTGCGATAGTGCTGAGGGGCCCGCCCCTTATTTTACCATTCATAAGGATGGATCAATGACCGTTCATTTGACATCTGCTTTAATTCCACGCCAATTTCAATTGAAAGCGAAAATCGAAAATAACATGATTACTGGGGAACTGACCGCAAATCGACAGTCGACAGTCGACGGTCGACAGGCGATGGCCCACAAAAGGGGTTGAGTGCACGGGATGCCAGCGAAATGCTCGGGGAAACGATTAAATCAAGCATAATAAAATAATAACATTTTCCACCTTTCACTGGCGGGGACAACTCAAATACTTGGCCGTCCTTTAATTGACACTTTCGATTGCTCGCAACGAGCAGAGCACATGAATCCATTCACCAGCGGATGAATGGCCATCACGCTGAATGACAGACATCCATTTTGTGGGCCATTCTTCCTGTCTCACCTGTCAAACATTCTCTGCGAAATTAGTTGAAAGCCACCTTTACAAATGGGGGGAAAATGGAAAATGTTTATCCATTGGGCCCGTGTTCGTTTTTCTGCACTTGACTTTTAGATGCTTTTGTGGAAAAGGTAAAAAAAAAAAAGGAAACACACAGTTGTGAAAAGGTCTCTCACATTGTCTGTCAGCTTTGTCATTTTGTGACACAAGCCAGAATTAAATGATTTTATTTACTTTCCTTTTTTGTCCACATAGCCCTTTCGATTTTAAGCTAGTTGTTCACTTTATAGGAATTCAATTTGATGAAAACGCTGACGATTATCGTCCCTTTTGAATAACTTTATATATCGCATTATGTTGCCTTTTTGAAAAAAGTGACAATTTAGGGTGGACTCCGTACCCTTCTATCTTTATATCTTTTTTTTGGGAGGGCTGTGAATTCGTGGAACAATTGATCTGTCAATGTGACAATTTCGAAAAGGGTGTGAAGCATGCTAAAAGCCAGAACAATTTATATTACTATCAACGTTGACTACCGTAACGACAAATAAAATTTTTTTATGTAACGATTTTTATCTCACATCAAGCATGAAACCAAAATAAGAGAGGGGTGTATAAAAAATTTAAGATATAAACCATTAAAGAAAATAAAATTATATAATTTGATAGGCGGTGATGATAAAAATGACAGCTGTATTCGGGAATCGTCTGATATTAATACCCAGTACTGTTCAAATGTGGCTGCAAGGACTAAGAACAATTTATGTTGCCTATTTTTCGGGATGGGACTTGCAAAAGATAACTTCTTTAATATAAATAAATAAATAAGATAAGATAATATAAATCTTATAACCCACTCGTAAAGACAATATATATCTTCTTTGTCTCTATTCCTTTTCAAAAACTAAAACCCTTAGTTAACCATAAAATACCAAGAAATTAAATTTATTAGTAGAACAAACGAGTCCAAACCTTTATTTAAATAAGAGGTTAGAAGGGTTGGCAGGGCAAGTAATGGTACAAAGGACATGAAACATGAGGGTGGGGCAGTGGGGCGGCAATTAATGCACTCGAATCTCGAGTTATGTAAGCTGCACACGGCCTTTTGATAGCTGGGTAAACAAATACAGACTGGCTCAAAGGAAGTTGGCAAGGACGTGTGCCAGGAATCAGCAGCTGATAAGCTTGTCAAGATGAAGTGGGTGGTAGAATGTGGCAGCGCACAGCACTGTATGCAGCATGCAACTCAATGCCAATAGATATGCAAGGTAGTTGCTAGCAAATCGACAGACTGGACGTTTGTCAAGACAGGGAAGGGCAAACACAAACAAAAGGCATACGGATGCAGATGATGGGGGCGTAACGAAGGGAAACAGTCAACACATCAATTGCATTAGTTACAGTGGCCACCGCACACAGACGAACGCTCGACTTCACACATTACTATACTTTGTTTTAGGCGGTTCCGAGACGGGTGTCCGGCAGTCTTTTCCATACAATTAGGACACCCTCCCTCCCATTTCCTATTTCGCCAGTCTCCGGGCATTGTGTACTTTGTTGACTTCAATTTATATATATCCATGGAAATCTGATTTAAATGCGAGGATGAGGGTAAATTATATAGATTTCTGGGTGAGCTCTTTACAACTTAACACCTAGGGATATTTGGTTGTAGTCCAGTGTATGGAGTAGGATATAAGGGAATTATCTTTAGAAATAGGAATGTCAAATAGGGGTATGGGATATAGGGCTTCGTAAGTCAATTTAGATTCGTCAAGCTGATTTTATAATGTGAATACCCCTTAGTGCTCTCTTATATACTTCGTATGTATATTTAATTTATTCGCTTTAATTCGTTTCGTTGAGTTTATCCCTTTTATAGCTTGTTTTGGGATTTTCATTACTACAATGACGTCGTAGGCATTGACACAGACGTCATGGTCCTCCGCCAAATATGCCTCGTCCTTGGCCATGTTTATTTATAACTTGCAATTGTAATTAGGATTACTTTTTACTTATTTGCACAGCCTGGCCCGGCATGCCAGTCCTGGCAGAGGACAATAACGAGCCACAACGAGATTGCGCATCCAGCATAAAAAACATGTTTCACCATTTTTACGCCGCGGACTTTCTCCGGATGGCGAATGGTGGGTATTAAAGTATTTGTCCAGGCGGCTTAGTTGCCAGAAGCCCGCCACAGCGCACAGAGGTTCATATCTGGTTAATAGGATACTTATGATGATACTTTGATAAAGGTCTCATAAGTAGAACAGCTGCTGCTGCTGGTGTGGATTTGGGCGAAATAATTGAATGGAAGGAATCCAAATGGGTCGTAGGGTAGTAAGTGGGTGTAGGACTACGAGCGGAAGGATTACAACTATCTATTATTTTCTTACCAACATTACACAACATGATAGACAGAATGTAACAAAAAAGTTATACAGCTTTATAGTTTTATTCAAGAAGTTTATAAGATAATGTTTCTTGGCACTTTCCAAATTACCTTTTTCCCTGTTGAGTCTCTGATTAGAGTGCCAATCATTTCAGTCACTTTCTGGCTAAAAATAATTCGGTCATAGGGGCAATCTCGCTAATCATGTGCTTAACCTTCGAATTTATTATACTCCGGCCAGACTTAGACAGCCAGACCCGCTGGGAAAACTACGGCAAATCCTAAAAAATGGTTGCGTAAAAAGTGTGCGTGCTCAAAAACCGATCTGTGTGATTAATGAAGAGGCGCAACCCTCTCAGAAAACAAAAAATGGAAAGAACAACGAGCTTGGGCAGGAACTTCACGTGCTATTCCGGGGAAATTAGTATGAGAAATTAACAAGTGGCTGCCATTGGTAATGTCAGCTTAGCGAACGGATTCCCCGAGTAGCCGGCTAATGTATGGACTTAATCCTACCGACGCGCCGGGGTTTGGAAGGGTTTGGAAGAGTCACAAACTCTCGTGGGTTTCAGGATTACGGCGAGTGGAAGGGATACGGTTCGGAGGCTCGGAGCACACAACGGTGGTCTGTGGATGATCACCCCCTGCCACCGAAAGAATTGACTATCATCGCCGGCATTGACATTCACTTTTTACAAGGTTGTTTTTCGGGTTTCGGTTCACACTTGCCACGTGCAACCCGTCGACTGTCGTCCCAGTGCCATCCCATTGCCACTTTTCGGCAAATGTTTGCTCTCCATTTGTTGTCATTGGCTGCTTTTTCCCGGGGACATCCATCGACTGCAGTGGCCTCAGTTCATTTGGTCTGGCCAAAGCGCTTTAACTCCTGTTTCGTCCTGCGCTTCATCGGTCCTCGGTCCTCGGTCCTGGCCACCGACAATTTGTACAAATGCATTATTTTTATTTCCACTGCTGCGCGTCCCTTTTCCCACTACACCCCGTACTCTGTACCCCTGGCCGACTAAGCCGTATTGCCTTTTGCATTTAATCGCATATAAATTATTATTTTTTTTTTCTTTTTTCCAAACACATATACGCTTTTCCATTTCCATTTGTATTTTTCCATTATTTCCGCTGCGCTGTGCTTTGTTTCTCCTGTTTTTGGCTCTTCAGGCGCCCCTGCCAAAACATCCCCGATTTCTCTCTAGCGAGTCCCAGGCCCGAGTCCCAGTCCCAGTCCCAGGTGTATTTGTTTGATATATTGCGCAGTTATTGCACGGAAAACTCGTACCTCCCTCTCTGGGTCCGTGCCCGGGTCCGGTTCGTCCCGGCCCT